ACTGATCAAAAAATGGGCAGAGGAAATGAACAAATACTTCTCCAAAGAAGATATACAGATGGCCAATAAGCATATGAAAAGATGTTCAACATCACTAATCATCAGGGAAATGCAAATCAAAACAAGACTAAGATATCACCTCACACCCATTAGAATGGCTATAATCACCAAGACAAAAAACAACAAATGTTGGAGAGGACATTGAGAAACAGGAACCCTCATACACAGCTGGTGGGAATGCAAACTGGTGAAGCCTCTACAGAAAACGGTATGGAGTTTCCTCAAAAAATTAAAAATAGAAATAGCCTATGATCCAGCTATCCCACTACTGGGAATCTATCCAATGAACCTGAAATCAGCAATCCAAAGAGGCTTATGCACCCTTATGTTCAGCCAAGAAGTGGAAGCAACCCAAGTGTCCCTCGACTGATGATTGGATCAAGATGTGGTATATATATACAATGGAATAATACTCAGCCATAAAAAAGACAAAATTGTCCCATTTGCAACAAGATGGATGGACCTGGAGGGTATTATGTTAAGTGAAATAAGCCAGAAAGAGAAAGACAAACCACCATATGATCTCACTCATATGTGGAATATAAACGAACACGTGGTCAGAGAAAACTGTATTGTGGTTACCAGGGACAAAGGGAGTGGAGGGTGGGCACAAGGGGTGAAGGGTGTATATGGTGATTGAAAAACAAAAAGGTACAACCAAAATTTCACAATGTTATAAACTATTAAGGCATCAATTAAAAAAATCACACACAGTATTGACAGCAATAAAGAAGAAAGTTCAACCACTCACAAAAAAAAAGAAAAACTTACTTCTTAAAGAGGTTTTCTTGACCTATCGAAGTTTGGTGGGTTAGGTTCCCTTGCTATGTGTTCTCCTAGCTCTCTGTGCTTCCCCCTTTCTTGTCACATTTACCTATAAATATTTGTTTAATAGCTATTTTCTACCACACTGCAAGTGCCAAGAAGGCGGCCATCTTATGTGTCTTATTTATCTCTATATCTTGAGTACCTCGCACCATGCCTGATACTTAGAAAACAATCAACATATTTTTGTTGAGTGAATGAATCTAGTCCAGCCTCATTGTACAGATGGAAATATGGATGCCCATAGAGGAAGAAGGATTTGCTTAAGGTAAGAATGAAGCAATGGCAGAGAAAAGTCTCTAGACCAAGTCTCCTGACTTCTGGTGCAGTGCTCTTTTCCATACGTGCACCTCCAATATGGTATTCGTTCCTTGTACATGCTTATGTATCAATCTGGCTCCTGGACTAGGTTATGAATTCCTTGAAGGCAGGGACCACATCTTATACCTGTGCTGTCCAATGTGGTAGTTACTGGCTACATGTAGCAACTGAACACTGGAAACATGGCTAGTCCAAATTGTGATGTACTATAAGTGTAAAATATACACCATATTTCAAAGAATGTAAAATATCTCATTAATAAATTTTTACATTGCTTACAGGTTAAAATAACATTTTGGATGCATTGAGTTAAATAAAATATATTATCAAAATTACTTTCACCTATTTATAGTTTAAATTTTTAATGTGGCTGTTAGAAAATTCATGGCTCACATTATATTTCTATTAGATGCATATTATTGCCCTATTGTATATTTATTTTTCCCCTTCGTGCCAAGCATAGAGCTTTGCAGCCAGTAAGTGCTCAACACACCCTTGTTGAATAAAGTTGAGCTGTAGTTGGTAGGTTAATTGCTGCCATCTATCTTGTCAATATCACTGGGTTTGTGGGGAATCTCACAGTGACCCTCTGTCCCCAGGCCCAGATGTACATGAAATTCTTCAGTCCTGGCCTGGGGGTGCCCTATACATTGCATCAGCCTTTGGGTTTCCTTTCAGAGGAAGCTCGAGTGCAATCATATGCACAGCAATCACCAGGGTTGAGGTGGAGTGTGTGGACACTGGCCTCTTGCACAGGAAGTGGCCTCAGTTTTGCAACTGTCTTTGGGGCCTTTTCTTGACAGGCTTCTGAAAGGAGGTAGGGGTAAGTGAGCAAGGAGATGAAGTTTAAGCGGGGCCTTCTCAGTTTTTTCATGCAGGTGAGGTAAACTAAGGAATGTGGGGACCTTGGGCTATGAGGTCTCCTTCATTTGCTTATGCACTGATGCATTCATTTATTCAACTCACAGTTCTACAGCAACTACTTCATACCTGGCCCTGTGAACAAAGGGGGGAATCAGACACAGTTCTTACTTTGGGCAGTTCTTGGTCTCCTGTGAAAGACAGACACATAAGTGCAGTGTGGACAGTTTTTTGAGATTAGAGGCTGGCAAAGCAGGAAGGAACTAATTTTGCTGGGAGGGAGATAGTCAGAGGAGGCTTTCCAGAGACAGTAAGCACCATTATTTTTTCTCTCCATCCTTTAAGATCTAACTAAAATCTTACTTTTCTAAGAGCATTGCTAATCACTACAACCTCCTCGCCTCCTGCCATGGAAAGATCATGCCTATCTTATCTACTCTTCTGATAGCACTTAGTACCTTTGTCAAATCACTTGTCTCATAGTATAGAAAAACATAGTTCCTTGGGTACGTACCTGTGTCCTTCTTCCCTCCAGCCCAAGAATCTCTCAATATGATATGGTGGCTGAGGTTCAGACAGGCTGTGCATGATTTTATAAGGCATATAGTTAATGAGCTACAGAGCTGGATCTACAACACAGGGGTTATAGCCTAGGGTTTAAGACACAGGCACTCTGACTCAAAATTCATTATTCTTTCCATTCCAGCACTGAGTGAATAAATGAATGTGTCTGCAGTGTGGGACCCCAGCACTACCTGCCTTCTCCCCCAGCACTCAACTCTCTTCTCCCTCATCGCCCTTTATAAGCATAGCCAAGTCAAAGACCATTCAAAATAGGAGCACTGTGTGTCATTTGGTTGGATAATAGACCTAAAGGAAAAGTCCCCTTTGTGCTGTGCTGCAAACTTGGCCCTTCTCAGCATCCTTTTTATTTGTGAGGTAAAGAGGAACTCCAAGAAGCCCAATGCCCTTGTTCTAATTCAGGCCTTCTGCATAGGTGGCATTATTTGCAGGTCCTCCTGACTCCTAATGTTCTCTTTCATGGACCTACTGTGGGGCTCCAAGTGGCCACAACTACTTAATACTTTAAGGGAAGACATTGTCTCCAGAAGGCTCCTGTTAAAAAGCCAGTAGAGTACCTTAACTGATATGTGAAAAAAGAAGGAATGGGTAGTTGAACTTAATCCCTATGGTGTGAGTAGGGAGGAGGGGGTTCCTCCCTAGGAAAGTACCCACAGGACAACCCTGCCTCCACCCCAAGATTTAGTCAGAAACCAAAAAGAAAAAGGAACTGAATCTTTCTAGAAGCCAGATCTGGGGAAACTGGTCTTGAGGACTAAGCCAATAAATTATTCTGGTAGAAGGAAGTTTTCTGCAAAGTGGTGTGAGTGCACAGGAATCCCTATCCCAGGCTGTCCCTAGAGCCTCTAGGCCCTGCAACCACAGGGAAACCCAAAGTGAGGTAGGGGCAGGGATGTAAGGGGTTATAAAGGAACTAGGGAATGTTTTAGTTAAAAAGGCCACCAAAATCATCTAGTCCAACTTCTGTTGGTTTAATGGGAAACTAAGGCTAAGGAGGGAAACAGAGTTGACAGATATGGGATTAAGACACAGGACTCCTGGCTTCCAGGGTCTTTTCTCTGGAAAATGAATTTATAAGACTATGTAGCTTGTATAGATTATTCACTGAGGTTTGAGTACCACACAGGTTCCTACTTTTGCTATGTAGACTAAGGACTGGTACTTGAGCACTGAAGTCATTGAAGGCGATCCCAAGTATACCCTGAAAGCATCACAGGAATTGCCTCTGCCATCTGCTACATCATCAGGATTCATGATGTACAGCACTGCATAATGAGAATCCAATGTCCTCCTGGCTATGAATGGGGACTGCCCAAGGATTGCAAACACAAGGTGTTAGGAAGCCACTCATTTTCTTCTCATACCATTCATGTCCCTCATGAAACCTGAAGGCCACAGATAAACTTAAAGGTCTGGCACCATCTTATCCTTCTCAAGGTCAACTACTTTCCTCTCCTCTCCTTGTAGCCAATGTGGGAGAGTAGGAAAAACCTAACATTTGAAGTCAGAAAGACTTGAGGGCAAAATCCTGCCTTCTCCATTGTTTCCTAGTTTTGTATTCTTAGGCAACTCACTTTACTTCTATGTGCTTCAGTTTCCTCACCTAAACTTAGGAATAATGATAATACCATACAGAGGGTTGTGGATTAAATGTGATAACACATGTAAAGCACATAAGTAATTTAATAGATGTGAATTTCCTTCTTTCTTTCCTTCTGTAAGCCCTCTGGATACTGGAATGTGACCTGTGGTTAACAGAGTCAACTTCATAGACACGTGACCTGTAAAGTTTCACAGGGCCCCATGCTTAAAAAGACCCCACACTTGGCTTAGTGACCTCACACTTGGCTTAGTGTGACCCCATACTGCTACTGTCACCATCTTGAAATTCTTAGTTTCTTTTTTTTACAAGAGGCTCATCATTTTTGTTTTGCACTGGGCCCTGCAAATTATGTAGCTGTGCCATGGGAGAAGCTGTGCCAGGGAATTTAAAATGGGTATTTCAGGATCAAGAGGCATTCTGACAGAGTGAGAGAATATGTGATTTGGAGGTGATAGAAATGGATTCAAATTCCAGCTATGCCACTGATTTGCTTTTTTATATCAGGCATATCCATTCATCTCTCAGAAGGCCAGTTTCTCACTTTTAACAATGGGGATTTTCATTTGATAATGTCTCAGCTCTGACATTCCATGATTCCCTCAGTAACTCTGAGGAAACCTCCTTGGCCCATACAGAGAGCCTAAGGCAGCCAGGGGCTTTCTGCTCCGACTCTCTGCAGCTTGGGTAGACAGTATCTGTTAGAGGTTGGCTGGGAATGGGCGGGAGGCATGGCATTGGGGACTGTTACTGCAGTAGTGAACCCTTTCACAACAGCACTATTTTGTCACTTTGCACCCAGATTTCCGTTGGCTAACCTCAGCCTTATCTTCCTCATTTCTATTTCCTCTTGAACACACCAAGGTCCCTTCAAAACACACGACCTTCCTGCTCACAGCACAAAGCCCAGTTCCCTCTGGCCCCTGCAGGTTGGCTTATCACCAAGGAACCTGTGCCTCCTCTGAGACCAAGGCACCACTCCAGAACAGGTATAGTATCAATTTACTCTCTCTGCTTGGATTTCCAAGCTGGGGCAGTGCCTACAGCTACCAGAGGTGGCTTGGACCTGCCCATCCCATTCTCTTTGAACCTTCCTCATGGATCCTGGGTCAAGGGTGGGAGAGAAGAAGGCTCCCATTGGTCTTCTATCCTGGAGCTTCTAATGGTCAGAAGGGAGGGTGACATTTCCTCCCCAAATAGGCTATTTAGGAGACAGCCACACGGAAGTGGAATGTTCCCTGGAAACAAAAGTCAGGAAATTTGAGTAGCAGTCCTGGTTTTTCCATTTACACACTGTGTATCTTTGAGCAAGTCCTTTCTCCATTCTAGAACGCACTTTTTTGGCTCTTCTTCAAAGAAAAGGAGGGGGAGGATTAGATGGATAGTCTCTAGAGACTCTTTTAGTTTTTTATCCCTTTTTCTGAAGGTTGTCAGCCCTCTGTTGAGAAAGGACGTGAGAGCGATGCTGAGTAAATATCTGAGGGGGGGGTGCTGAACAGGGGGCTGAACCATGCCTCAAAAAAATCCAGACTGCCTCCAGTATGAGGAAGCCCAACTGGGTCAGTTGCAGGGCAAGTCCTGCTACTTTGTGTGTTAAAACAGTGGACAAATGATAATATTTTATGTAATATAACAGACCAAGAGAAGAGCTTTCAGAGTCCCTCAATATCACTCCATGTAGATATCCGCCTCTTCTTCCAAAGGTTCTGGCCAGTCTTTCTCAACTGAATCTGCTTTTCTTATATACACTCTATTGGAGAGGCATGAACTAGAACATTAAGAGTGAAAATAAAATCAACTTAGTTTCAGCTCAGCCACTGACTCCTTCTGTTTATACTGGGGCAACAGGTCTATAAGGCTCTTCAACTTCCAGTGTACTAAGAAGGAATCTTTAGCACCCTCATACATCTCCTCCTTTTTGATGAAGTCACAAAGGGCATTTAGGAAGCTGTGGACACCTCCAGTTTATCCAGGTCTTCTCACTGGAGCTGGTAGCCAGTGAGGGTGATGATAGAAGAAAGGCACTCATCCAGTTCTCTCTCCCCTGTCACCCTGAACTCAAATTCTATTAATCAGCTTCCTTGGCTAGCCTCTACCTACAGCTCCAGGGACTGAGCCCAGGTATATGGGAGGCTCTGAAAAGCTCAACAAACACTTTCCTAACAACTCTTCCTGGTAAGTCTTCTTGTCCCCATTTCCAGAAAAGCAACTGAAGCCCAAAGAAAGACTTGTCCAACCCTATATTTGCCTAGTTAGTGCCTAAGGCAGCATTAGAATGCAAGTTTGTCTGATTCTGTCCACTATACCATATCTGGTGACCATGATTGTTGCTTTGGCTGAAAGAGCCACACTTCTGGATGGCTTGGGATGGATTAGGTAGGTAGAGAGGGGAATGAAGGGCTGGAAAAGACTGTTTAGAGCTTTAGATTTTAAGTCACTTTCAGATCTCAAATTGGAGGGGCCTGAGACCCCCTCACCAACCCACATTCAACTAAAAGAGTTAAAATAAAAAATAAAAAAAAACTCCGAGTTTTTGCTGAAAGACAAGTCCCTCTGCCTAAGCTGAGACAGGGCCTTCTGACCCCATGGGACAATTTTCCATTCCTGATAACCTGGGAATATTTGCCACTTTTCATGCCAGTATTTAATATAGGCCAGCTACTTTCTCATAGATCAACTGCCACAGCTGGGAAGGGGAGGGTTTTGACGCAGACAACCTGGAATTTTTAGCAACAGGATCTGGGTGTTGCCAAGGAAATTCTCCCAGAAGTTCCGGGCTTGACCATGCTCCTGGCAGCTTCCTTATTTCCCTGATGGCTGTAGGTCGAAGGATCTCAATGCCTCACTGCCAAGTCCACTGCCTGTTTTTTGCCTTCCTTGTTGATGTGTCTCCCTCTTGCCAGAGAGATATACAGAGCAGGGAGGTAAAAGGACCAATATGGAAAGCTAGAGGGCACAATGGGGTGATACAGGGCACATCCCTGAACTGTAAACAACTTGTATGACCTTTAGCAACTCTATTCCCCAATATGAGCCTTCGTTTCCTCATTTATAACATGAGTGGGTGAGACTAGATGATAGTCCTTTTATAGCCACCATTCTTGAGTCCTGGTGGGACAAAGGCACCGTGTTAAGCAAGGCTGAGGCCATAAGAAATTCCTGTTTCATCTGTCCTGACCCTGTTTAATCAATTGTCAATTGCCCTTGCTTTCCTTCTGGTAGCACAACCACCATTTTTTTTGAGCATTCGTTATGTATCAAATACTGAACTAAGGGCTTTACATACATTATCACATGTCATTCTCCCAATAACTTATTAGGTAAGTTATATAATTATACCCATTTTGTGGATATGGACAACTAGAGCTCATAGAGATGAAATGACTTATCCAAGGTTTCCCAGCTACTTAATGGCAGAGCCAGTATTCAAGCCCATGTTTAACCTGAAAGCCTGTGTTCATAACTACAACACTGTGAGAACATAGCCTGGGAGGGTTGGGAAAGGGGAGCAATGACACTGACTGTGGGGCCTGGTCCTTTCCTGATGTCAAGGAGGCAGGACAATGACCAAATTGCTTTCTCTCTGCTGCGTGAAAGAGCCCACTGAAGCTCGGGACCCCGAGAAATGCCATAGCTATAGGAATCAAGTCTAAGAATCCTCTAGCTGAACACTGGGGCCTCACCTGCAGTCTCAACTGGGCCTTCCCTACACACCCTCAGTATCTGTCTTGTGGTTAGGAGCCTTGTGCCTATTTTGCTCACTTCTCTGTTCTGGTGCTTCAGTGAGTCTCTACAGCCTCTGCAGTTTCCCTGGGGCTCAGGGTGTGACTCCTTTCTCTCTCTTTCCCTCCAGGGCTGCATCTCCCAGGAAGATCTCGCCTCTCCACTGAAGCCCCTGGTCCAGCCTCCTGCAGTGCCACGCTCCGTGTATTTGACAAGCTGAGTTGGACACTCCATGTGGTAGAGTGTCAGTTTGTCAAATACCCCAAGTGCGGCACATGCCTAGCAGCTCCAGGCCAGGGCAGTTGGGATACAACAGATAGACTGCCAGCTAGATACAAGAACACTCGCCAAACACCAACTAAACTCTCACAAGTTATTTTCAGTGACTTTGAGGGAACTGAAGCATTGTATGTGAGCATGCCAGGGGAAAGTGAGGCAGCTCTGGGAGCTACAGCCCTGGGCTGTGTCTACACATATTGTGTGAACCCAAGCGGGGCACACTAGTCTTGAAAGGGTGTAAGGGGCTCAGGGATGGAAGTGTTCCTTGATTCATTATTTTCTTCCTTCATGTTTCTTTTCCAGAGTCTCTCAGCAAGGACACCAGGATTCTCGCACAAGCGTTATGGAAGGGCTTAGAAACCCACTTTCCTGACACTCGGTCTTGGCTTCTAAACACAGTTTCACTTTATCTATCTCTCTCCTTTTCCTCATACCCTTTATCCTTCTGGGTACACCATCTCCATTTCTCTCTGCCTTTCCAATGCTTTCCCATACTTCCTGGCTCAGCCAAACCCCAGTCTCTCCACGGACTTTTAAAAGTCAATCTACACTCTTTCTTTATTCATTCTCAAAGCACTCCTTGCTTGGGTCCTTGTATATATCTTTTTATCTCCTACTGCCTAATGGCACCTCTTGAATTGTTAGTGAACTTTTCCAGGGGATATTTTTTAATTCCCCACTAGATTGTGAGCTTCTAAAAGACAAGACTATGTTTCCTTGATTGCTGTCTCCCCACTCCATCTCTACCCCAGTCCCTAGCACAGTACTCTGGTTACAGAAAATACTCAATAAATGTTTATTGATTGATTGACTTGCCACTAGTCCATTAACTTTGGGTCTTTGGGTCAAATGCTACCTATGAATTTTGTGAGAAAAAAATTAAACCGTGGTCACTACAATGTTATAGAGTGTTTAAGCTAATAGCCAACAAGGAGGGTTTTTCTTCCTGAGAAATAGAGTCAAGGGCAAAGAAGAGGAGGGAAAAAAGGTAGGCTCAGAGGCCAAATAAGTTTTGGAATTACTTGGTAAGATAAAGTCATACAAGCATTTTATTGCAGGATTTATCAGAGCCTTTAGTATTCTAATGTTGCATTGGAAATCTCTATGAGGGAGCTATAGAATAAAGCATTTCTCATGCCTATATGATCTTGGAAATTTTTTTCTGTGTGCCATCTCCTGGGTTTAATGTTCCATGGAACAAAATTTGCGAAACTTCCCTGGAGGAACATCATACTTTCCTTCTCTTCTGGAGATCTCCTCTTTTTACTCCTCTACTTTCCCGCTACCAGCCACCTGCCTAAGACAGGTCCTATGTTATCATCCTATTTTTGTTTAGCTTATATTGCAGCTTTAGGCTAGCGTCATACCTAGGACTCTCTTACTGGATTGTCTTGTATTGAAAAAATTATCAGTTTTGGGGCAAAGATGATCTCCAGAAATTTCTGGCTGCAATGAGTATATGCTTCTAGGAGTTCACAGAGCTGTCTTCTGGTGTCTGTTCTACCACTTACTTGATGTGTGTGACTTTAGACAAGTCACTATTCCTCTATGGGCTTAATTTCCTCATCTGTAACATGGGAGAGTTATAATCAATAATCTCTAAGCTCTCCAAGAGAAGAGACTCTGAGATATCCCTGGGGTTTTGCAACTTCTATGGAGAGGGGTGTCCCTGGATTTGAAGCTCCTTTTACCAATAGAAATACAACTAGGATTCTATTCCCAACCCCAATAATTCCTTTCTATAAGGGTAGTAGGAAGAAATAATGGTTGTTTTCAAAGGTTGTGGGGTCTGGACACAGAGGTGTTTCATGAAGGAAGCTGAGGTTTCCACTGGGTGAGGGCCCTGTTTCAGAGGCTTGTAAGCATGATGGGGAAGAAGTTGCTCCTTTCACCACCTATGTGAAGGTGGCATCTGGGGATGGGGAAATGCTGAGGTTTTGACCATGGACTTGGCAGGTTGCTGGTGGTGAAGCAAAGGACTCTTCCCTATTCACTTTTGTGTGCTATTTTGACTTCTATAATCATCCCAAAGGGGAGCAGACCCTAGTGAAACCTGAACTGACCTTAGGGATGCATTGGAACTAAAAGTGGTAACATGTCAGTTTCCTTGAGTGGTAAAGAAGTTGATTTGACATGAATTACATGAGGGAAAGGAAGCAGTGTTGACCTGGCCCAGAACAGGTCCTCATAGTGGGGACTGATTTAAAGATATATGTGTGTGTGCACATACACAGACACACAAACACGAACACACATGCTCATACTCTTATTCCTTATTCCTGCTTGAGGAGAAAGACTTCTTTGCTCTGACTTCCACCCCACATTGTAAGAAGGGGCTAGGAGATAGATTTCAGGATTACAAAGATTTCAGGATTCCAGGAGATGGAAACCTTTGAGGGTGGTGCATGCATACTTTGGAAAGAAGGGAACACTTTATGTCTGCATTCACAGTCTCCTGACACAGAAGAAATGTTCCTCTTTTTTCAGGTTTCTAGTTGACTTGGGAAGAGTCATCCAGGCAGAGCTAGCAAGATGATTGGGAAGGGAATGGAAGTCAGTTAAGTTCTGTTTTACCAAAGATTCATTGTGTTCCAACTGGGCCCACCTCTGAAGTGAGGTAAGAGTGGCACAGGTGGGATGAAGAAAGACCAAAAAAGCAAAGACACGATTCATACTCCCAGGGACCCAACCATCTCAATTAGTCTCACTTTAATTACCCTTGGTAGGTCCTTTAGAGAAGACCAAAATGACCAAGATTGCTATCATGATTAGATATTTATTGAGTACAAAAAGAGTACCAGAGCACTAGACTCACAGTGCAGGAGCAGAACTGAACCCTGGCTTGCTATATGACAATCTCAAAAGCTATCTGGTCCTGGAGAAAGGGAAGTGATCCTGGACACAGCTGGTCCCCTGAGCTGGCAGAGCTGATCCTCCCTCTGGTCTTCTGGTGGAAAGAGGCCAAAGTTGAGTGGTTTCTGGAGGCATGATGATCACGTCCTCGTGTTATGGGCACTTCCCTCTGGTGTTTGGAGAGAAGCAGCGGAAGCCACAGGCAGGGATGTTAGAAGGGCCTAGGGCCTAACCCAGCAGCAGACTTGCTTTAGGTACATATGGTAACTTTTTAGGAAAAACCAGTCACTTCTAGGGACCCCAATGTTGGCAAGGAAGACATGTTGTGTTATCCAGGAAGAGAAGTAGCAAGGAAGGGGGCCATGCAGAAGGCAAGGGCTGAATAGGCAATTATGTCAGCAGACCCTGGCCTAGTAGGCATTTTTAGCAGACACTCTTGCTATCGGTAGCCAGATGCCCATAATCTGGGGGAACTGTATGCAGCAAACAAGCGTAGTCACTGTTGATCTGGGCGATGATCTTGTACTCCTGGCCCAGGCAGGGGTCCTCAGAGTAGTCGTTGTCCAGAGTCCAGGAAGCTGGCTCTTCAGTGGAGCAGCCACTTGCAAAGATGGCCACCCTCATGGTTTCACCAGAGTCATTGGCATCCCTGGCATGCACCCTGTGGCCCAAGAGCCCACCACCCGTGAGAAAGGACTTGAGTCTGGAACCCTGGTTTCCCATCATTCTGCCCCAATTCTTGCCATCTGACCCTCAGGCTCTTGTCACCCAGGGATTCTGGGATCAGAGTGCTAGTGGACCTGAATTATTCTATGTGTTCCGTAGGCCAGGACAGAACCTCAGGAGGTGCCTCAGAGAGGGAAGAAAACTGTGCCCTGACCCTGAAGACCTCTAGGCTTAGGATTGGGTCTGTGCCAAACCCCCTTTCCTGCATGCCAGTGACCAACAGAATTGAGGGAAGGGAAGGGTCAGAAGATGGAAGAAGAGATGCTATCTTACCTGGCCACTTCATAGACATGCTCTAGAAAAGAAGGAGGAATTGGGTCAGAAGTCTCCATGGGGAGTGGACAATGGCCAAGAATGGACCCTGGATACCAGTAGAAAGGTGAGGGAAAGGGAGACAGAGAGGGGGATCTCAATATGTCTCAGCTTTCCAACACCTAGGAGGTTTGGGAAGATGAGTTGAAACACAAGGATGAAAATTTCTCAGGAAAGGAAGAGGAAGCAGACTTGGTCACTGTCCTCTTTGGCATACTCTGACTCAGGACATTGAGCTGGCGCAGTTGCTTGGTGTGGTGGGAGAAGGGACCCAGGAATCTTGCCAAAGATTCCCAGGGAGTCCTTGTAAGAAACTTGACAACCAGGCTAGAGCCCAGGCAGAAGGGGCTGAATTGGTCTGATGTCAGGGACTATGGCCTAAGCCATTCTCAAATGCACTCATCCCCACCCTGCACCCAGGAAAGGTCCTGGAAGAGATCACCATTGACCCCTAGTGTCTGTGTAGGAGAAGTACCTACATTTCATGCAGGCTTAAAGACTCTATAGCCTGGTACAAAGATGGATGTCTCTTGGTACTGCCCTCTAAAGGCTTATAATTTTTCAGGGATGTAGCTGGGAATGAATGCATTAAACTACCATAAAGCAAACACAGCATGCTGCAGGCCTTTTACCTTGTGATAGAGCCCTCTATTTCCATGTCTTACCTCCCTCATTGGCCTAGTAGCTCCTGTACTGCAGGAGTTGTGTCTTTTTCTTTTTTATATGCTGAGTGCCTGGCGCATAGTAAGCACTCAGTAACTACACGTTAAATTTAAATAATGCCTCGAGGCTATCTCCCTTATAAAGAGGTAGAAAACAGGAGTTCTGGGAAGGCAATCCAAGAAGGGAAAATGCATAAAGGTATGAGGTATACAGCTTATTTGTCTGTTTGACTTCAGTGACTGGAAATGAAAATAGGTATAATGAAGTTGTGGAGATTGAGAAGATAGGCTAGAGCTACATCACAGAGGACCTTGAATGGAATGCTGTATTTTGTCCTCTATTCCCTGGGCCATGAGGAACCCTGGAAGGTTTTTGAGTGTGAAATAATATAATATGGTTGCAGTTTATACCCAGTCTCATTGAGATTATGATGAATGTTTTCCTTTTAGTACTCCTGGGATTTGTGGCCACTTGAGATATCTCCACATCCACGGTCAGCCTCATGGGTAGTAGCCATGCTACCTGGTCTAGACCAGAGCTTATACTTGAGGCCTGGGAGAAGGAGATATCAAGATCCCCTTCTCTTTGGTTGAAGAAACTCATGGTGGAAACCAAGGTATTTGGGAGTAGGAGCTACTACAGAGGAAGAGACACACTAGTGCTAGGTAAAATGGTGAGTTCAGCAGGCATTGAGGGGTAGCTAGGTTTAACTTAGAAATCAATATCCAAAATTTTTTTCCTCCTGTGTTGGCTCACAGTTGTTAAATGGCCCTGACAACCACACCTTCATCATGTTACTCCTCTGATTAAAAACTTTTGGTGATTTTTAGTGCCTTTGTAAGGCCTAGAGGAAAAAGTCCACATTCCTTAGCTTGTTATTCAAGACCTTCTATAATCAGGAATGAACTTTCCTTTTCCCTTGTATTTCTCCATTGCCCAGCGACATGAATTTTCTTTATAGATGACCCTACTCACCGTCATCTTTTAAGCTTTTATATGGTTACTCATGTAGATTCTCCTTCCTGGAATACTGCCCCCTTCCAAATTATTTTCATACTCCAAGGCCTGGTCTAAGTCCCTTCTCCTTCTGAAAGCCCTTGCTAATTACTCCAGCCCTAACTGACTCTCTTCTTCTCTGGATCCCCTAAGCCTTGATTGTCTTCTCCAGGCTTCGAGTCCATGGCCTTTTGTGCTCTGCATTGTTATTGATAAACTCCATGCTTCTACCTTGAATACCCTAAATAAATTATAAGTAACTTGAGGCCAAGGATTGTGTCTTCTCCTTCTCTTGCATCCTCATTAGGCAACCCATTACAGAGATGGCTGTACTAGGCTGGATACCAAAGATTTGTGAATTAACTTCTATAAGTTGTATTGTCATTGTTGGCTTGTACATTTGTCTCCCTGCACTCCTACTCTCACCCTCAAACTAGGCTGGGAGCTCTTTGAAGTGCCTAACACAGTGCCTGATACAGAGTTTATGCTCAACTATACTGCCAGAATGAATGAATGAACAGGAGCCACCAGTCCTACTCATCACTCACCCTGTTGGGATGTCTTCCTGCAGTGCACGATATAAGCCATGGTGAAGACCACCACACAGCACAGGGAGATGATGAGAATGATGGCAAAGATAGGCAGGCTCCTTCCTAGAAGGCGAAACAAGACCAAGTGGTATCTGATTGAAAATGAGTCCAGAAACAGAAACTCCAAAGATCATCCCAGACCAGCTGATACCTCTTTCTTTTCCATTTCCCAACTTCTCCTAACTTTCTTAGCTACCCAGAGAGACAAACAAAACCCCAGGCCCATGAGAAAGACTTGAGAGAGGCTAGAAACTCTATGTGTAAACAAGTTCTTCCAGATCCAATGGCTGATTGGCCTGGGCATTTGAATTAGTCCTACATGCTTTCCACGGGGCCAAGACAACAGATTTTCATCTTCTCTTAGAGAGGAGAAAGTAGTATCCTGACTTCCCAGCTTCATGAAAAATGCTACCTTATTGAAATTTTGGTCAATTACTTCTAGCCACAAGGATTCTTTCCTTCACACTCTCTGGCCCAGTACCCAGGTTTCATTTTCCTCAAAACATATTTCCACTGAGTCCCCTGGGTTACCTACCCAATCCTGCCTATAAGCTGAAGCAAACCACTGGACTGGGCTTCCAGTCCTGGATCTGTTATTTACTTGCTGTATGACTATGGTATGCAGAATAATGGTCCTCCAAAGATGTTCACATCCAAATCCCCAGAAACCGAGAGTATGTTAGTTTATATTGTAAAGAGGAATTAAGGTTGCAGAAAGATTTAAATTTGCTAATTAGCTGACATTGAGATGGGGAGATTATCTTGAATTATCTGGATGGGCTCATTGTAATCACAAGGGTCCTTTAAGTGTGGAAGAGGGATACAGAAGAGGAGGTCAGAGTCAGAGAGAGATTTGAGGATGCTACATCACTAGATTTGAAAATGGTGGAAGAGAACCAAGAGCCAAGGAATGTGGGTAGCCTCTTGAAGCTAGAAAGGACAAAAAACTCATTTTCTCCCAAAAACTCCAGAAAGAACACAACCCAGTTGATACCTTGATTTTAGCCCAGTGTGTCAGACTTCTGATCTCTAGAAGTGTAGGATAACATGTTTGTGTTACTTTAAGTCACTACGTTTGAGGTAATTTTTTTTTTTGAGGAAGATTGGCCCTGCTCTAACATCTGTTGCCAATCTTCCTCTTTTTCTTTTTCTCCCCAAAGCCTCAGTACATAGTTGTGTACCATAGTTGTAGAGTTGTAGCTCTTCTATATGGGATGCCACCTCAACACGGCTTGATGAGTGGTGAGTAGGTCCGTGCTCGGGATCAGAACTGGTAAACTCCAGGCGGCCGAAGTGGAACGTGTGAACTTAATCACTACGCCACCGGGCCAGCCTCTTGAGGTAATTTTTATAGGAGTCATAAAAAAATAAATACAGTGACCTTAGCCAAATTCTTGATTAAGTTTTTGACTTAGTTTTTCCGTAAATTCAATGAAAAGATTGGATAATGCTTAATGTATTGCAGCTACAATATTCTGAATCTAGGGAGAGATATCAGGGAATGGGAAGGAGTAGTGAAAGGAATTTCAGTATACTTAGGATTAGCTGCTGCAACTGGCTTTGTTTTACCTCATCTCAAAATATTTTGTCCTAGAAATCTGGTATTTGTAGTCCTCAGAGCTCTGGTTGGAGCAGAGAGAACACAAGCTATACAATGAAAAAGACCAAAGGAAGATTCCCCCTTGGAGAGAGTCAAGTAGTGAAAATTTTGACAGAGAATGTAGGGCACAAACACAATATCTGAGAATTTCCATTTCTCCCAAGGTTATTTTCTCCTCTTACCAAACCAAACCAACTTTCCAAGAGGTATCTTTTAACCTCCCTTCTCCTATTGAATGTTGCCCTGGAAGAGGCATGGAATTATGGAAGCATTCAAGTCAAAGGTGACAATGCAAAGGTGACACACAGAACAGGTTTGGACTATGCCAGGAGACAGCCAAGAAGTTTTGCAACCAGGAAGGGAGCAGTACAGGGGCATTAAGAAGTCCACTATCAATGATACCCAGCCAGAATTTGAGACCAGGAGTGATAGTCATCAAACTGTTTAGCACCAACCAATCAAAACAGTTGCCTACTGTAGACCTGGAGTCTAAGAGGTCCCCTGCTATACTAGGCACTAACACTTTTGTTGCAGAACCATGGAGCGGTCTTGAGAGTTCTGAGAGATGGACCAGGGCAGCCCAGGTGATAACAGGGAGCTCAGCGGTTAAAGGAAGTAAATAATTATCAACTAGTAGAATAATATTTCATCATTTCAATCAATGCAGTGATACCAGTGCATACCAGCTGACTGTAAGCTCCAGGTGAAACATAAAAGACCTTTTTTTGGGGGGTTTGGATCTCTGAGACTATGACTTAGATACCTTTGAAACTTTGGAGGAATCAGAAATCAGCCGCAAGCTGCTTGGTGAGCCCTGGCGTAAAGCTCAAGTAATGACGCCCTGTCATTACCCTTACCTGGTCCAATGCCCATGTCCCTAGAAGACCTGGTTGAGGTCGTGTCTCTTTCCTCTTCTTGCTTAGAATGTGTGGGAAGTATATTACTATGAGAACCAGCTAAGATCAGGTATATCATTCCCCTTAACCCCACTCTGACTTTGCTCATCCTTGGATCTCTATCTTTTCTTCTCCATCCCACACACTCCACCCATCTCTGAGGCCTTTGACTATTGACTGACACATAGCTGGTAATGATTTGCAGAGTTGAATACCATAGAACAGTGTGTATAGTGGGAAGTTTCAGTTGCAAAGTTCAGAGCCAAGAAGGAAGGATAGAAGTTCTGGCATTACCCTTACCTGACCCAGCACTGGTCTTCTCAAGGTAGCCATCCACTTCAGTGGTCAAGCCCCAGGGTGGGTTCTCTGTGGATGTTGCAATGACAATAGGGTATTAGGATCAGAGACTTCTCTTCTAGCCAGGAGCTGCCAGGTGCTACATAGTTTGGGGTCCTTCTTTGGACATCTGAGCTGAGATTTCCAGAATTCCTGGCCCTGTCATTGACCACTAGTACTATGAGGTGAGGTATAGTTTCTTACTATTGGTGGAGGAAAGAGGGCCCATAGAGGGGAAGTAATATGCATAAAGTCCCACAGCTGGTCAGACTAGGAACAGAAGAGAGGTCACAGTTTTCTTTTTTCCAACTTTTGCCATGGGAATATTCTAACTCTTTCCTTCCTTTTGCCTCAGAATTTTTCACAAAGAAGATTATATATATTCATTATTCCACTTCCTCATGACCCTTAAATGCTTGATATCTTTCTTTTATTTCCATTTCTTTATTGCTGTGTTCTTTCTGAGGAAACTAGTGACCTCTTATTACTCATCTAATGGCATTGGGCCTCCTCTCTTGGCTTCCATGACACCATTTCAGACCTCTCCTACTCGAGCAGAACCCTAGTAAAACTCACCTTCCAAGGAGGATTGCATAGTTGTAGGTGCCTCAGTATTGTCATTGAGTGGCTTTGAGGAGTCTACAAGGAAAAGGAAGTCTAGTCAAGGGCCCTGGCACACCTGAGTGAAAGGTTGAATGTGCTAGGGAAATTTAGAATTAAGTGGAGGCCGGTCAGGTCCAAACCTGGACCTGTTTCAACAATTCTCTCACGATACTGGAAAGTTGTGTGTTATCTGTTCTTCTGTTACATCATTCTAACCCAGGATACTTAGCCCAGGGTTCATAGACCCCCAATGAATGTATAACTAGAGTTCAGAGGGTCTTTAAAGTCAGATGGGAAAAGCATATTTTGTCTTTATTAACTTATAACTGAAATTTAGCTATTCATTCTCTTGAGAGGGATTTTGGAAGTATCATAAAAAAAGGTGGCTGCAGGTGATGTCAGTGGAAATGGTAGAGCAATGACCTCCAAATATTCAACTCTTCACAAAAGCAATGAAATAACTGGCAAAATTTTTCATAATCAACATTTTTATACAGAATTTTGGAAATTAGTCAAAGATTTGCATCAACCCAGGGAGCATTTACGGAAGAAAAACACCCCAGCCTTGTTAAGATCAGCAATTTTGTGGCATTTTAACTTTTCCTAGCCCCATCACCCTTCCCCAGGCCAGTAGTAGCCTTGAAAATAAACCCCATTCCAGGTGCTGGAGTAAGCAGAACAGATTTAATTCTCAAACAGTTGTCATTATTTGACCTGTGTGGAGAGTCTCTGAAAGACCTGACTCAAAAGGCTTGTCTTTATTAGTGAAGCAGTGCTAAAACTCTCCCTGGGGAGGGGAGAGTATTTGTCACACAACTGCCTGAGGCAATGGATAACAGGGGAGGGCAACAAGAGACTAACCAAAAAACTTAAAAGGAAAAATTGAAGAATGAGATGTCCATAGAGACTTTGAAAAGCTCTGACACATTTCTAGGAATCTAGAAGGCCACAGACATGCATAAGGTTGTGTGCATGCTCAGGAAATACATGAGAAAAGTCATAAGCTCTTACCTCTGGCTGGCCTTGAGGCTTTGCATAAGCATGAAGTGAAGGCTATGGCACAGTTATAAACTGCCTGGTGAGTGTTGAAGACATATTTCAACATGCAACAGAACCCTTTAGTAAAGACTGGGAGATTTATTGTTTCTCAGTATTTAAGAAAATCTCTATTCAATCATGAGCTGACTGCTAAGTTAACAAAGTAGAGACTTAAGTGGCCATCCATGACAAAGAATATAGAAGACTATACAGAATCAGAAAAGTCATTAAACAAACAAACAGCAACTAGTACAAAAAGCAGTGCCAACAAAAAGCCCTGGAGAGAGAGAAGGAGAATCAGATTTCCAGAGTTGCCACATTATATTATTTTAAAGGCCAGTTTTCAACAAAAATACATGATATGCAAAGTAATTAGAAAGTATAGCCTATAAACATGTAAAAAAGTTGTGCTGAATAGAAATTGTACCTGAGGAAGCACAGATATTGGACTTACTAGAGAAAGATTTTAAATCCATTATTTTAAATATGTTCAAAAAACTAAAGGAGAACATGTGTAAAGAACTAAAAGAATGAGAGCAATTGAAATCAAATAGAGAATATCAATAAAGAAACAGAAATTATAAAACAGGAACCAACTAGAAATACTGGAGTTGAAAAGTACAATAACTGTAAAGAAAAAAATCACTAGTGGGAAGAAAAATTCACTAGAGAAGATTTAAGCAAGCAGAAGAAAGAATCAGTAAACTTGAATATATGACAATTGAAATTAACGAATTAGAGGAACAGAAAGGGAAATGAAGGAAGAAAAATGAGCAGCACCTCAGAGACCTGTGAGACACCATCAACTGTACCAACATACACATAATGGGAGTCCTAGAAGCAGAGGATAGAAAAGGACAGACAGAATATTTGAAGAAATAATGTCAAAAAACACTCCAACTTGATGAAAATAGTTAATGTGCAAGTATGAGAAGCTCAGTGAACTCCAAGTAAGAAAAATTAAAAAATATTCACATCTAGCCATATAATCAAAGCCAAAGTCAAAGAGAGAATATTGAAAGCAGCAAGAGAGAAGCAAGTCATCATGTACAAGGAATTCTTAATAAGATTAATAGCCGATTTCTCACTGGAAACAATGGAGGTCATAAGACAGTGAGATGACATATTCAAAGTACTGAAACAAAATCCTACCAGTAAGGAATTCTATATTTATCAAACTGCCCTTCAAAAATGAAGGAGAAATTAAGGCATTCTGAGATAAACAATAACTAGGAGAGTTTGTCACCAGCAGATCAGCTCTATCAGAAATCTTACAGGGAATTCTTCAGGCTGAAATGAAAAGACACTAGATAGCAACTTGAATCGATGTGAAGAAATAAAGCATCAGAAATTATAACTACATAGGTAAATATAGAGAATGTAAAAGTAGTTTTTGTTTGTAACTCCCTTTCTTCTATCTGATTTAAAAGACAACCACATAAAACAATAATTATAAATCTATGTTGATGTGATTATAATGTGTAAAGAATGCAATTTGTTACAATAAGAGCATAAACGAGTGGGAATGGAGCTATATAGAAACAAAGTTTTTATATGCTATTGAAATTAAGTTGATATGAACAATTACTAGATTGTAGTAAGTTAAGAATCAATGGTAATCCCCAGGGCAACCACCAAGAAAATAACTAAAAATATATAGTAAAATAAACAACAAAAGAATTACATGGTACACCAGAAAATATCTGTTTAACACCAAAGACAGCAGTAGTGAAGCAACAGAATAATAATAAAGGCAAAATATATAGAAAAACAATAGCAAATTGGCAGATATAAATCCTACCGTATCAGCAATTACATTAAATGTAAATAGATTAAGTTATCAAATTTAAAGGCAGAGATTGGCAGAATGGATATGAAAACATAATCCAACTACATGCTATGTATACTTAGGATTCAAAGACACAAATGGTTTGAAAGTAAAAGGATAGAAAAAGATATACCACGCATACAGTAACAAAAATAGAACTGGAGTAGCTATACTAATATCCAACAAAATAGACTTAAAGATAAAATTGTTACTAGAGCCAAAGCAGGATCTTTTGTAATTATAAAGGGTCAATAAATCAAGAAGACACTACAATTATAAACATATATGCTCCTAACAACAGAGCTCCAAAATACATGAAATAAAAAATGACAGAATTTTAAGAAGAAAAAGATAATTCAATAAGAATAGTTTGAGAATTCAATACTGCACTTTCAATTATTGGTAGAACAACCAGACAAAACATCAGCAAGGAAACTGAAGACTTGAACAACACTGTTAGCAAAATGGACATAGCAGACATATACAGAACATTCCACACAACAATAGAATACACATCCTTCTCAAGTGCATAATGAAGATTATCAAGAATGGACCATATGTTAGGTCCTAAAATAAGTCTCCACAAATTTGAAACAATTTAAATAATGCAAATTATGTTCTCCAACCACAATGAAATGAAATTAGAACTAAATAACAGAAGGAATTTAGGGAAATTCACAAATACATGGAAATTAAACAACAACACCTACATAACCAATGGGTTAAATAAGAAATCATTAGGAAACTAAGAATACTTTGAGATGAATAACAATGAAAACACAGCATACCAAAGCTTACTGGATACAGTGAAAGCAGAGCTCAAGGGAAAATGACAGCTGTAAATACCTACTTCAAAAAATAAGGAAGATCTCAATCAATAACCCAATCTTTTACCTTAAAAAGAAAACTAGAAAGAGAAGAGCAAACTAAACTGAAAACAAGCAGAAGGAAGGAAATAAAGGTTTAGCAGAGATAAATGAAATAGAAAATAGAAATCAAAAGAGAAAATCAACAAAACCATAATTTAGTTATTAGAAAAGATCAACATAATTGACGATCCTTTAGCTAGACCAATTCAGAAAAAAAAAGAAGACTCAAATTACTAAAATCTTCAATCAAAGAGGGGAAATTCCTGCTAACCTTGTAGAAATAACAAAGAATTATAAGGGAATACTATGAACAACTGTAAGACAATGAATTAGCTAAGATGTAAAATACAAGTTCCTAGAAATTCACAAACTACTGAAACCAACTGAAGAAGAAATAGAAAACCTGTATAGGCAGACCTTTAACAAGTAAAAATATTGGATTGTTAATCAAACAACTTACCACAAAGTAAAGGCTAGGCTCAATTGGCTTCACTGGTAAATTCTACCAAAGGGTTAAAAAAATTAACGCCAATTCTTTACTAATTCTTTCAAAAAATAGGTGAGGTAACACTTCCCAACTCAGTATAAGAGACCAGTATTACCCTTATACAAAAGCAGATAAAGATATCAAAAGGAAAGAAAATTAAGAACTGATATCCCTTATGAATATGGATACAAAAATCCTTAACACAATACTAGCATACCAAATCCAGCAGCACATTAAAAAGGTTATGCACCATGACCAAGTAGGGTTTATCCCAGGAATGCAAGATTGGTTCAACATATGGAAATGAGTCAATGTAATACACTCCATTAATAGAATAAAGGAGAAAAAAAGCACATGATCATCTCAGTAGACACAGAAAATGCACTCAACACAATCCAACACCCTTTCATTATAAAAACACTCAACAAACCAGGAATAGAGGGAACTTTGTCAACCTGATAAATTGCACCTACAAAAAACCTACAGCTAATGTCATACTTAATGGTGAAAGACTGAATCTGTTTCCTGTAAGATCAGAAACAAGACAATGATGTCTACTCTTGCCATGCCTATTCACCATTGTACTGTAGATATTAGCCAAGTTAATTATGCCAGAAAAAGAAATAAAAGGCATCCACATTGGAAAGGAAGAAATAAAATTATTTCTATTTTCAGATGATATAATCATATATATAAAATCCTAAAGAATCCACAAAACAATGATTAGAGCTAATAAATGAATTTAGCAAGGTTATAGGATATAAGATCAATACATAAATATCAGTTGTATTTCTGTACACTAGCAATGAACAAT